TTATCTTTAGAGCTTCCTTGTTCATAGATAAAAGCTAATTCAAAATTCAAGCGTTTTGAAAAGTTTAAAAAAATTTCTTTTAAAACTTATTTTTGTTTTGAAATTTAGCTAATAATTCAAACATTTACATACAAGAAACAAGTACAACTTTTAAAAACTAAATGGTAATCGAACGCTCCTTTCAACCAGATCATTTCAACCGAGAATTGGTTCAAAAGAATACATAATAACACGAAAGAACGAAGAAAGCATTATCACATGTTAAAATTTAAGCAAATGCAAGCGAGATTGAGCATATAAACATAGATTCGTCAATACACAAACCCAAAGAATAAATTTTGAGAGGTAATATAGAATGCTAATTACAAATTAGAAAGTGAGAAAGGCATATTATATGTATGTATGTATGTATAGATTTGGTAACGGTTTGCTTGCATGCATGAACAACTGAAAACACTTACTTGATACTACTAACTTTACCAAATCAACATTTGAAACCACCGCAGACAATAAACCAGAGTATGATGATCAACACCAAGATTGCTCCCCCAACCATTAGCTTCATTTGTAAGCTCTGCAGCCACATTTTTCGCCGAAGTTGCCTTCCTTGTCGATGGAAGTTATCGGCCTACATTTAAAACAGAGATCTCGACATGAAACGAGAAAGATATAGGATATTATATTTATCTTCAACTTCTCAGTTCACATTCATGATTCTCAACGGACAGTTGGATTAAATGATGTACCTGAAATTGGAGGTTTTCTGTTTTGTCCACCAGAAGCTCGATCCGTTCACCACGATCTAAGACCTACAAGAGAAGGAAATCGATATCATGTCTGTTTAGAAAAGCTGAGAAAGATAGGTTCTAGATTTCCTAGCCCCGAGTCTCCCCTCTCTTTTAAGGAACGAACAACTTAGGGGCTAGTGCAGCTCACTGGAAGAAAACTCCTCATTTTTCAGTTTATTTGCATAAGGAACTTCTAACCACCACTAATAGTTCAAGCTCACGGCTAGTAGATAGAGAGTAGTTGGGATCTCACAATCAACCCTCTAGGGGGCTCAACGTCTTCGCTGACACCCCACCCAATGTCTGGCTCTAATACCATTTGTAACCGTCCAAGCCCACTACTAGCAGATGTTGTCCGCTTTGGCCCATTATGTATCGCCGTGAGCCTTACCGTTCTAAAATGAGTCTGCCACAAAAACATGGCCTACTGTTTTTTCTTTTTGCCAAACCCAAGCAAGTTCTCAATTCAGTGACTTTAATGGGCATAGATGGTTCAACAACTGCCTTTACTTAATCAAATATAAGATATGAAAAACTGAAAAGACCAGATCACAACCCATAAAAAAAAGTTAATACAATGAGAAGACCAAACTATTAATTCACAAATTCAAGATCATTAAAAGCGGAAGAGAATAGTATACAAGTACTGGTGAGGCACTACCCAACCCAAGACCAAAACGACATTGAAAAGACAAAAACCAATCACAGTGAGAGGATAGTTGAAAACGAACCTGTTATCAAGAGAGCTCCATATAAAAAGAAAAAAAAATGACAACGATCTCAATCAAATTCCTAGTCTCATCTTAAGGTAATGCCACAGAGAACATCATGAAGGAAAGCTGGAAGCAGACATTTTTTTTGCTAATCCTCATGTCAGGTATCAAATAATCATATTTACTACCTTGCCTATATGGTCAAAAAGTGGATAGCTTGTCCATTCAGACAAATTTCCACTACGTCCTCAAGGATATGTCTCCAAATTTCTCACCAAGATTTGACAAATGATTTCCTTTACATATATTAACAGCACATAGGATATCACACAGTCCATCATTTGTATGTAATCAGCAACTTGTAGGCTCAAATAAGAAAATCAATAACAATATAATGTACAATCCTATCAAATATGAACTTTATTGTGTATTCGAAAAAAATGCCTAAGTGATGTTATTGTGCTGCCCAAAATCCCCACAGTAATTTCCAATGGCTGCATTGAGAAGCAAGGAACGGCAGGAAAAGGGGGCAAGGAATGCGTGTGTGAGATATTTGCCAATTCCATCCACTTTATCCAAACTGACCACTACCAAATTCTTTGAAAATCAGGTTCTTCAAAAACAATCAAGCAACACACTCATGTGATATTGACTATGTTGCTTTGAGGGCGAAAACTAGTTCAGTGCTCATGGCTAATATACTACTTGGCTGATCTACCTACCAGGACGCCGCATGTAACAGAGATATGCATAGATACTGGTACATTTGCCAAGATGACATGGAAAAGGAGGAAGAATTAGAGGGTGCAAAGTGAGATCTTCAAAAATACTTTAATCTAAGTCACCGTGTTTATACATTATGCACAACTGTGAAAAAGAACATGTATGCTCTATCAAAATCTCAATAGAAAATCTCAGAGCAAAAATTACATGATTTCATAAAACAAGTCAAACCTTTTCGATGTTATCCATCATAATTCCTTTCACCTCTGTTATTTGAGCCTTCAGCTTGGAAAGTTTATTCATTTCTTCTGGGTGGTTCATGCAATATTGCATGTGCTCCTTAATCCTTGGCCTATCATGAAAAATAGAGATTGTTTGGTAAAATGTATGACACAAAACTCAAACATTGTTCATAAACATGGGCATACCCAAATTCTCTGTCAAGAGTGTATGCAACACTGAACCGGTCTAGAAATAAATCATCCTCATCCTCATCATCTGCAAGTGGGTGAGGGTTCTCGTCCTTGATACTTGAACCATAACGCTGTTTAAAGTCATCTTTCACACGCTCAAGAAACACAAATGGCATATTCCTTCCAACTGATTCATCCGCAACGGCCAGAAAAACTGTAAATCAATCAAACACTTTCAGCAACAGGTGCCAATGAAGTCAAAACAAGTACATTATCAAACTTAAGAAAACACAATACCAAATCCACTGTCGAGAAGAAAGTTGAATGTATGGCCATCACATGAGTATGTGCATTTGCTGTTATTAGAAGGCAATTTCTGTAAGCATTGAACGGCAATGGTACTAAAATTGCCTGAGAATGATGTGTGTTCTGCTAAAACAACAGTTCCTTTAGCAACAAAGCTATATATTAGGCCTTTCTGACTCATCTCTCACTGCTATCTGAGAAGAATCAAAGTAGTAGAACTGACAAACTGCAGCAGTAACCTACAAAATTTTTGAATGGATATAGTTAATCTGAATTCATTCTCAAACTGGAGGTACGAAACGTTGGAAATTCACGAATAACATGATATGAGGCTATCCGTTCCATTATTCTAGTCTCATTAAATTTGTAACTGAGCTCAGTTACATGTTAGGACTTTCTTTTTGAAATCTCATGTGAACATTCATCATTTAAGTTTCAGCGAAGTTAGTTCCTATTTTTTGGGAAGTTTCCGTACTAGCGGTCTATCCAAAATTGAGCCCAAACTAACAAAGGCCACGAATGTTTGAGTAAATTACTTGCTTGAAGGATTTGTCCATCGAATTTGTATATTCTGTTTTCTATAGCAGTAAGGTTGCAATCCAACACAACGACTAATTTATCAAATGACAGTACCTAATATACAATTACATCAACTACAGCAAACCGCCGACGAAAAACCCCAGTATTCCTTCAGATAATCAATAACACAAATCACAAAGAAACAATAATTGTACAAAAAGATTTTCTGCTTACGAACGAAGTGGAGAAGAAGAAGAAAAATAAATGCTAATTCACAGCGTCTCCTCCAAATTCGAGATGATCAAGAAACAGTTCTGGAAACAAATTAAACCCTACACATATTCTTCAGAATTAACCAGAAAAGGAGAAAAATCGACGAAGAAAACAAAATTTAATTCCACGATCCAATCAGAAAGTAAAAATCTTACAACAAAAGAGAAAAATTCAAACCTTAAACTGGAAATCTCTAGTCAACTTCACGTGAGATGCAAGCTAAAAGATCGATCCGTCTGAAAAATACATGAAATTGTAAAGGGCAATATATAAGGGAAGCCGAACCTCGATCAGTTTAACCTTCCGTCTCCGGTTGGGAACAATTCTCCGAAAATGTGTAAAATTACTCCCAATTTCGAGCTTATATTTATATTCCATAAATTTTTACACTTATTTTTATATTTAATTTTAAAAAATTAATTTTATAATTTTATAATAAATTTTTAAACTTCTAATTTTGTCCTATAAATCTATAAATTAATTATTTTTAAAATATTTTAATTATATATTAAATACAAAATTTTAAATTTTAAAAAACTATTAGACAATGAAGCCGACCAAATAAATAGATAATAAAAATATAGTAATTAGAATTGTAATTTGACTAAAAATATGTATCATATCATTATTATAACTTAATTATTAAGGCAACTTTTATTTCTTGTAATTCATATTTATAATTTTATATTTTAAAATATATATATTTTTACATTTAACTTAAACAATTTTGAAATTCCAAAAGTATAATAGAGAACTTGTGCGTTTAATAAACTCTTGAGCAGATAAATTCAATTTTTTTTAAAGATTAAGTAATCTATCATATATAAATTTAAATTGTATATATATTATAACCCAACCTTCAATTTGTCACATTTTATATTTATTTAGCATATGTAAATTCTTGTAAATATCAAAATTAAAAAACTGAATTTGTAATTTTATATTCTTTTACTAAGTATTTTTTGAAAAGGCATTCATTAACTATATTAAAGATCTATATTTCACTATCAAGAACGAAGAAACATTCGAGTTAACCGACAACATTGAAGAACACAAAACACGAGACGAAAAAAGCTAATCCGTTTTTTAGAAGCAAAATAAATTACGAACCATGTTGCTAACACAACATTCACAAATCACTCCTATTTTGAAACCGCTATGTAAAAGTACGACGTTTTTTCAATATCTGTGTTCGAGTCAACTTGCACACACCTTGACTAATTACACGGATCAACCCGAAAAAATGAAACAAACAAAATCATCGAGAGAAAATGATAGATATATATAGAAATATGATAATTAGAACTTGGAAAGGTTGAAGAAAGTCTTACAGAGCATGGGTTCTTTCAGTTTTTTTCTTGTTGAATGGCATTGAAAAGATAGCGATGGAACACAACACAAATCATTCAAGCATCCTATATCTTGTTTTAGTTCAGTTCAGTACCCAAACTTAGGCCTTGCAGATTTTAGCAAGAGCCGTTTGGAAGAATCAATGGTTGTTAGGCTTTAGCCCCGACAACGCAAGGGGTCGTGCCCCGGGTGGTTTTAACATAGGACACATACTCACCGTAGTGCATGGTGAATAGGGTGCTCTGGTACCGGGTCAATCGAATATGCTTACGCAGTGACTCGGTGATTGCACCATTGTATCCTGCCTTCCGCACCAATGAGTCGATAGCCTCAATTTTTGTCCAACCTGATAATCAAGATGCAGCCAAACCCGAAACCTCGGTCAGCTGGAGGACGTATAAAGCTAAACAGAGATTTGACAACATTTTAGCCAAAAAAACTATGTTTCACAAAGATATGTTCGATTAAAGTGCACAAATCAGGCTGCTCGATAATCTGCCTATATTGCAGAAGGAAGATAGAGGGCATCGCCAGCAAAAACGGCAAAAATTATGACTAAACATGGGAAGATCGATCAAATACGGGGGGGTGGCAGGTAGTCCGCCCCACTACTATGTATACCAAGCGAATCACTGGATTTCACATGACAATGAAAAGAGGACGAATATTTATCGACAAAAAGCACCGTAGACATACCTTCATGGGCAGCTACCTCGGGCAGATACGTAGCACTTCGTCTAGTATTATAGTCAGGATCATTAAATTCAATAATAATACCATGCTTACCTACCTGCAATAAGATAAGAAGAACCCTGATTACGGAAAGCCTACCTGCAAGATGGCTAATCAGTGGGACTGCCCAAAAAACACGACACGCAAGCAGGCAGGACCAAGCTTAAAATTCCGGGCAAACTAGCCAGAATCAAGAAACGTGCACGACCAATCCTTGCAAGCCATAAGGGCAATGCATTTTCTGAATTTCCAACAATCAAGCCTTTACATATATGCAAAAGTATTGTTATTCACGCATCTTGAATACAGCCATCATTTACTACTTAGCAAGGCTACTCGAGTAAACACTTGCAAGTTATGCCTATGAGCCTGTCCTGTGATAATATGTAGCAAGAAAGTTCCTGTCATTCAAACATCCTAGGTGTATTTAGTAGCTGTACCAGCTCAAGCCCACCGCTAGCAGATATTGTCTTCTTTACGCTTTGCTTTCCCTTCTAGGCTTCCCCTTAAGGCTTTTGAAACGCGTATAATAGGGAGAGATTTCCACACCCTTACAAAAAAATGTTTCGTTCTCTCTCCAACTAATGTGGGATCTCACAATCCATCTCCTTTGAGGGCCCAACGTCCTCGTTGGCACAACGCCCAGTGTCTGACTCTGATACCCTTTGTAATAACCCAAGTCCACCGCTAGCAGATATTATCCTCTTTGGACTTTCCTTTTTAGGTTTCCCCTCAAGATTTTTAAAGCGCATCCGCTAGGGAGAGGTTTCCACACCATTGTAAGGAATGCTTCATTCCCCTCTCCAACCGATGTGGGATCTCACAGTAGCTAACTAGCTTAATTTTTTCCCATTTTCCTTATAAGTATGTGCTTCTAGTTAGCATAAAAACAACTGATAATACAATGAGAAAAAAGGGTTAAATTAAACTAGTTAGTGTCTAATAACAAATTAACTCTCAGAGGGGGTTAATCCCCTTTTTGGCCCTTATCCCCCTTTTTGGCCCTTATCGTACCAGGAGGCCTAACATCTGACTTCCTTGAAAGTAGTAGTTTATGAATCTTACTCTAACAATGTAGCTCAAGCCTGACAGACCTGTTCTAATCATTAATAATGCACAAAATTGTTCGAGTTTAATGGAAAGGAAAAAGGGCACTCAGGTTCTGTGAGACAACAGAAAACCAAAGCCAACCATTGTACTCACTGAACACAAACACAAACCTTTGATTAAAAAAGGGAACAGAAACGTACCTCCCAATCAAGATAATTTATAGCTATTTCATAATCAACTAGAATGGAAACTGTGCACTCCAAATGTGGTAATTCTTTAGGCTGTATTGGGGGGAACCTCCGGTCCCTCAATGCACTGCAACATATTCAAGAAAAAAGGAACAAAAAACCAACTCTTTAGATGCCCATTGTAGTGTCAGTTCAACCATAGAAAAATAAAATTTGCATTTAGTCATGACATGTAACAGCCCAAGTCGTCAGCCTCACAGTTTTAAAATGCATGAGAGGATTCCACACCCTTATAAAGAATTTCCAAAGGAATAATAAGCCATAAGTTCCACTCCCCCCACCCCCTCAATGGACCTCATGCCTGAATATCAATAATTTACATACAAATCAGTTAGGTCACCTAACAATGGACTTTTCATTCTCTCTCGAACTTTGCTAACCAAACCAGCTTCCTCCCCACCGCCCCTTCACTGAATTGATTTACCAAATCAGTTTTAAATGAAGCAAACTTCCAACAATATGGATCACTTCTGTCATGCATATGGACTTCTCATCCACCCATTGACTTTCTCCCTTAAAATTTGATTCAAGAAAGCCAGGGAGAGGGCAATGTGAAAACGACTCTGGAAAGCAGAAATAAATGAAAATTCCCTAACTATGAGCTTTAGGCGGTAGTCTCTCATTTGAAACCAATTAACATAAAAAGAATGGAAGGTTTCACTTTAAATCAATCACATTTACAAAGCTGCTGCATCATACTTTAAGTTAGACCTTTGCTTTGATCACTAACAAAAACATCCAACAGCATTTGTAATAATTCAAAAACTTCATAATATGCTTCAAAGTACAAAAAGGTGCTAAAGGACTCATAACAGGCACCCCAATACAAAATTTACAATGCCACGAGGTTCTTATTCATGCAAAACCTCAACCTGTCATAAAAAAATTATACAGTTTCAACTCAAGTCCAAACCAACTCATAAGAATTGAAAATTCTCATTTATTTTTGTTAAATTTGTCACAACAATAGTTAATTCATGCTATACTACCAGGGAAAAGTAAGCAGAACCAACCTTTTATCGAGTGTGCAAAGACAGTCATAATTACAGTCATAATTAATAACAAGCAGTGAGGTACAAATTCTTGGAGTTGTGACAGACTATGGTTGCAAACTTCTGTATTATTCATTACATAACTTGCAAATGAGAATTTCAATCTTCATGTGATTACTATTTAGAGATCAATACTTAAAAAAATGGAAAGCCAAATTCAATAATAAACACCATCATCACAAAGTCACTTATGCTGTGAAATACTTTGTCCAGAATACTTGAGTCAGTCAACTGATTTGGGCAAAGTTTTTAGATAAAGCAGTGGGGGAAAGGTAGAAGTATGCATTATGCAATAATACCTATTTAAAGCATAATCCTTGAAGCCATTTATCAAGCAGCGAGCTTCTAGAGTTCCTATGCACCCTCGCAGACGAGGTTCACCACCATTGACCACTTTTTTCCAGGTAACGAACAAGGGGCTGCCAGAAAAAAAATATTCACGTGAAATGAAAATAGATGCAGCTTACAATAATAATATTCTAGGTGTGAAGCACAAGGCTTTTGAAAAGTGGTTAGTATCACAAAAGCATCTGCAAAAAATATGCTAACCAGCCAATATAAGCATAACATAATGGATAGAGACACTAACTACCATCTGAAAGGTTGATGCTTTAATCCCCTCCCGCACAATTGTTGAATTAAAAAAAAAAAAAAAGCTTGTCTAACCACATGATAGCATATACAAAATGTAAAGATGAACAGATTGATAGCTGCATATGTCTGAAAAACGCGCACAGACACAATCTATTAAGATCAGAGAAGTCACAAACGGTTTCAGTTTAGATGGTAAAAAAAAGACATGCATGTGGCAATAGGAATGCTTTGTATTTCATTTTTTCAGCAACCTTCATGAAATAGACATATGGACACCATGAGAAAGTTAAAGATAAATCTTATCAAACACTTCACATCCAGTCACTTGTTATCCGGTAACTCTTTCAAAAGCTTTCAGAAGAAATTATTCAATAGATTACGGACACGTGTTCTTGCTAGTTCGATTTCCTTCTTACAAGAGCAAAGAAACTATCCTAAAATTGGACAATGACTTAGTTGGCCATGGCTTTGAACTAAGAGAAGTGAAAACTTTTTTATTTTCTTGGACAATGACGAGTGGGTCATGGCTTTGTACTAAGACCAGTGAAAACTTTTTTTTGTCTTTTTGCTTAATAAACTTAAATATAACCGCATAACACTAAATTAAAAAATCATTACTCAGTAAGTACCAAACCAACATGTATTTACAACAGTTTTATAAAAACTGCAAATACAGGAAAACACATAATCATAAGTAATTTGGAAGCAATGTTTAGTAGAAATACATTTCATCATACAGATTAACCAACCATTATAGCTCATGTGCATCGAGAACTTATGACTACAGTAAATATAATCCATGGACGTCACTGTAGACAATTCCTAAGCTTTCCGGGAAATTATAAACAAAGATGTCGAGCGCAATGGAGTCAATCCTCAGCATTATACAAATGGTACTATAATTAACATACAATGACTTATTACCATGAGTAAGAAGCCTATAATCTTATTTCTTCCATTTAGACTTTGTGAAGAATTGGGAAATGAATAAAGAAATAAACAGCACAGAAACAAGTTACTTCGGCTGATCGAGTTTTAAAAGGGCATCAAATTAGATGCTGATTAAATTTATTGAGCTTTCCCTGTGATGCTCACCAAAAGTTGCTCTTTTCAGGGTACGTAGCAGGAAGTGCCTAGCTAAAATAGCTCAATTGGGTTTCCTGGCAGCCACATAGAAACAGTAATTCCTCTTTCCATTTGTCACCACTCACCACAACCCAATTATTTTTCTTTTTATCATTATTTAGCAAACTTATTCCCTTAGTTGTAGATGAAAAACCACGTATTCTAGAGAAAAGGAAAGGAAATACAAAGGGAAAACGGAGCCAAAACAGGAAGCATTCACCAATAGAACATCCAAACTCAATTGAACCTATTATTTAGAAAATACTCAAAATGTTCCCTCTCCCTGTGTTCCATTTAAGAAAAATTGTATTGAACTACTTAAAAACGAATAAAAAAAAAATATACTTCATCAGTCACCAAAAATACAAAAAACAAAATGGACAATTCACAAAAATTTTGTACTCGCGAACAATTAGAACTAAACACAGAAATCACAGACCAAACCAATGATGATCATCATGATCATAATCGAAACCCAGCGACCAACGTTACAATTAGTAAAAGCACAGACTCGATCACATGCTAGACCCCAAACATGCAAACAAATCACAGAACCAATCACTAATCGCACACGAAAACAACAAAAAGAGAGAGAAATTACTGTTGACCACCATCGAAAGCAGGGGGAGGGGCTTCCTCGCCGTTGTAGTGAGCGAGAAGGGTATCGAAACAGTACACCACCATCTCTCTGTTGGCCGACACCATGGTTGGCGTAATCAGTGAGCAGTGAAGTGAAGAAGGTGGAAAATCAATGGTAGGTTGAGGAGGAGGAGGAGGATTTGGTAACGAAATTACTAAGAAATTAAGAGGGAAAGGGAGAAGGAAGAGGAAGAAGAACAGCAATAGCAGCAGGAAGAAGAAGAAGAGCTTTTTTTCTCACTCCTCTTTTCTTTCCCTCTCTCTTTCTCGCTCTAGAGCCTTTCTTCGTCGCTCACTTTTGCGCCTTTATTCGGATGGGCAGTAAGCAACCATGAATATAAATTATTTCCCGTAGGACCCACTTCCCCGTTTCTTTTTCAGTTTACCCTCTTTGCTTCTTCTAAAAAAAAATATTAAATCACAAAAAATAAATAAATAAGAACTCTTAAAACTATTTTAATATATATTTTATCTAACGTCTCTCGATTAATCATAGCTCTGATACTATGTTAAATAAACACGACTCTCCACAACGGTATGATACTGTTCTTAGTATAAGCTCTCATGACTTTGCTGATCTTTCTCTTAAGATCTCAAATTAATGGAGATAGTATTCCTTGATTATAAACTCATGATTATTCCCTAAATTAACCGACTTAGACTTTAATCCCACATATAAAATCCAACCATTTATTCGATTATTAGAGTTATCTGACCATTTATTCAATTTAATAATGTGAGAAATTAAACTATATGACTATTTAATTATTGATTCAATTCAATAATATGGAAAATTAAGCGTTTACATCAACTTACCTTAAAAATTAATTTTTTTAATAAACAATTTGTAAACCAAGAATAAAAAATAATAATTAAAAAAAAAAGATTTAATTATATTTTATTTTTCTTAAAATATGTAAGAAAAAACATATTTTCTTTTAGTGTTCGCACAATTATTAATTTATAAGATTAATTGAAAATGCATTTTTTAATTAAAAAAATACTTCCAAATAGTCGATGTTTTTTTTTTTTTTTTTTCAAATACTAGTAAATCAACAATTAACTTAAACAAAAGAAATTAATAGATAAGCTGAGATAATGAAATGATTAATTAATCAATGAATTCCATTCTCTCTATTGTACTCAAGGTGTCGCAATCAATAGTGTCCTAAAATAAGACAGATTACTAACCTGTGAATGTAATATTTGAAGCATCATATGATTCAACGAACACAAGAGTATATGAATAGTTGTACACAAAAGACGTTTGATTAATATTTTTCGACTACGTTCCCGACACGCAACAGCAGGATGTTGATGGGGCTGATCGTTTTATACTAGATTTTGAAATATTAGGACCACTTTTCTTGGATGCTTCAATTAGGGGCAGGCAGCAGAGTAGTTTATTTAGTGTCAAGGATGGTTGAACTAATTTGAAGAAAGAAATCATCAGTCCAAATACTAAAACCATAATGCATACAGCGTGGCTTTACCTCTCAGCTTTGACCATTCATATTCTTCGTCCATGGGAGACTTCCAAAGATTACCAAGAAATGTCCATTTCTGAACACATAAGAATAAACTATAACCATTTTCCCCAGATCACAGTCATCTTACAAAATTCAGAACAGAACTCAATGGTTTGAATTTGAAGTGAACGGTAGGATTAAAGATTCTAAAAATCTAGTAAAGAAATCAGGGACTACAGAACGAAGGGTTTATCGTCTTACCATCGTGTCGGCTTCTTCGTCACCAATCATATGCGAGCCACAAAAGCAAAGTCCATCTGAAAATGGAAGATCCCAGTGAACCTGAAGATTGAAGATCAGTACATACAACTGACATCAGTGAATAAAAACGATTATGTGATACGACATTCTGTCAGCGGAACATCGTCATTGATGAGTGAGTAGGTGCAACTCTCGTCCAGTGAAAAGTAATGAGTTCCGTCTCCCACCCCCGAAATGAAAGAAGTAATGAGGTGCGTATGCGCATTTTTGAATGATTGAGACGGAAGAATCTTTCAAAAGAACAATCTATCTGCCGAAAACAAATGAAATTTGTAAAATTGAGAGTTAGATATTGAGCTTAAACAGAACTAAGTACTAACATTACTAACAGGTAATTCAATTCTGATAGTTTTTGATGGGCAAAGTTTCCATGCGTCCCAAACTTTGATGCCACACAACCAGATAAAAGAGACGATTCAAAATAATTGAAACTCTATTGAAGGGATGAAAACAACCAATAATAAGTATCACCACTTCCTTATATCATTTCTAACCTCAAAAAACCAAGACCCTGAACCCGAGCAGCTTCAGCGTGGCCCGCACCAAGTCTTCTGCAGTGCTGCCTCGCTTCACAAGTTCCGAGAACTCATGCTCATCAAGGCGATTTCCATGATATCTGCCAGCAGTCTTGGGAGCTAAACCAAGAGCCTCCCTCATCGCCTGTTCCTCCTGCTCCTTGATCAACTTTATCTCCTCTTTTGCAGCATCCACATTCAAACTTGACTTTTTATCCCGTGCATATCAGTGTAAATCTTTCCCTGTTTAGTTATTGAAAAAGAAAATGTCTTACTAAAACATTTTATCAAGGAAACAATTCCAGGGCAAGGATATGAGAGGATGACCCACGACCCACAAATAAGAATCAGCATGAATAAGTATAAGTACATTCTAATTCAATCCAAAAATGCCTATTTAATGTATTTACAATTAGAAATGCATTGGCCAAAATAGTTTGCAAATGGAAGAATGCGCCTCCCAAGTAACCGCTAACAGAGACTACCCGCTGAACAGTTAAACAAAGCAAATAGTTTTTACAAGAGCAATTTAATGCCTTACAAGAAGAAAATCATTTAACCGACTTAGTTCCCGTTCTTTTTCGGTGCACTCACTTTTCTAACTAAACTCAATACTTGGCGAAGGGGGTGTAAGAGGTCTTTTTGAGTGCATCTTTTTCATATCATCTTCCCGTTTGGGCTTTCACAATGATACCTTACCTTTTTGCCATCTTCCAAGAGGAGCTTTGATGCTCTGGCCAAGGAAGTTTTCCCTATGCATGTCAACTTTCACGTCTTCCCAACTAAATTCTGCACATCAAGAAAGTGCAAAATATATATATATATATATAATGAATGAGCAAAATCCCATACGTTAGAGAATCGCTTGCAAGATTCAGGAAATACCTTAACAGGTTGACTCGTTACAGATATAGTTGATCTAATCTATTGCCGATCCGAACGTACAAATATTGAAAAAATAACAGAAACCTCCAACACGACCACTCAAAAACTAACAAGCCCTAAAATCCTTACGACACGACATTCGACTCCATTCACCACCGTAGACGAACATAACTACATGAACTACCGCCAATCTAAAAACTCATCAAAATCTTAATGCTACAGCCAAACTTCCTGTCCAATTCACAAGGCGTCTTCAAATATACAAATCGATGCGACTCGACGATTGTTTAGAACTACCAAACGAAAACAATCTCCGAGCAACAACAACAAAAAAAACGCTAATCCGAATATCAGAGACGCGAAGAAAACCATAGAAGCGAATTCAAATTCAACGGTTCTCGACTTCGGCAGCCACTAATCGAATCCCGCAAAAACGTACTCCATGTGAAAGAAAAAATAAAGGAAGACAATAGACAAAGTGGAAATCGTATAAGGTAAGAACTAGCTTACGATCTCGACCGCCACGAACGCCGCCTCTAATAGGATGATACATGATCGGAGTTTATAGTCCGACGAGGGAATTTGCGACTGTCTTCTTGACCTCTGGTTTTCGCGCCAAGTTAAAATTTTGCCGAACAGTTAGAACAGTTCAAATGGGTTATAAGCCGTGTAGACAAATAAATGAATTAAAAAATTAATGTAAATACATTTTATTTTACCCTGTTTAAAATAAATAAATTTTACCTCAAACTAACCAATTTTCAAGTGTCACTATTTTGTTATTTCAATTTAACAAAAATAAATAAATAAATAAAACTCCAAAATATATATATATATATATATATATATATATACATATATATATATTTTTTTTTTTTTTTTTTTTACCACAACTTAAAAATCAATTTACCCATAAAACTAAATATAATTGAACCGAATAAATAACTAAATCAACCAGAGATCTCACATTAGTTCTAGAAGAGAACGAAACGTTTTTTATAAGAGTGTGGAGACATCTCCTTAGGAGACGCGTTTTAAAAACTTTTAGGGGGAGCCCAAAAAGAAAAACCCAACGATGACAATATCTACGGCGATGAACTTGGGCCATTACGAGTGGTATCAATGTCAGACACCGGATGATGTGCTAGCGAGGAGGCTATTCCTCGAAGGGGGTGGACACAAGGTGGTGTGCCAACATGGACACTGGACCTCGAACAGGGGTGGATTGTGGTGTCTCACATCAATTGGAGAAGAGAACAAATGTCGAGTGCCAACAAGGATGCTTGACCTCGAAAAAAAGGTGTTTTGTGAATGGATTGTGAGATCTCACATCGGTTGGGGAGGAGAACGAAACATTATTTGTAAGAGAACGAGTGTAAGCGAGGATGCTGGTCCCCAAAAGGAGGTAGATTGTGAATGGATTGTGAGATTCCACATCGTTTGGGGAAAGAACGAAACATTTTTTTATAAGGAAACGAGTGTACTTAGACCGAAAGGGAAAGCACAAAAACGACAATATTAGTAACAGCGTGCTTAGGCGTTAGAATTAAAATTTATAAATGTTAGCAAAATTTTATATCTAATTATAATTTTTAAATCCTATTAGTTTTATAACAAGTAATTTTTTTTTAATCTATTAAACAACCTATTTATTTATTTATTTTTTTCCCATTGTATATTAACTGAAATCCGGGTTTGAGTGCGTCACTTACATCAATAAACCGGTTCGGTTCGGTCCGACCGGGAACCGTTTTGAGTTATCCAACCGCCAAACAAATTGGGAAAGTCTCGGTCATTTTTAGGGTAACCAAGACTGAAGAAGCTACTGTCACTCTCTAGAACATTTCGATTCACAGAACGCAAATGGCCATGCGATCGGTGCTCAGTCGTATCTCGCCGACTCCCTTGACGATGCGTGCTTCCGGCCCCGGTGGATTCCGATACTTTTCCGACGGCAAAGGTCGAGTTCTCAGTGAGGAGGAGCGTGCTGCCGAGAACGTCTACATCCAGGTTTAATTAGTTGTTACAAATGTTAGAGAAAAATGTGTAGAAACTTATAGCACTCCGATTATTGATCTTCTCTGTTGAAAGTACACTTGTTAGAAACTCAGATAGAAATGGACTGGAGCGAAAGCGAAGTTACTGTTTCGGTATTATGTTTTTGTGCGCGGAGTTTCCGTTCTCGGATTTATAATAGTAGGATTATGATCATCTATCTGTTTGATTGAATGTTCACGTGTTCAAAAATCAAATAAAACGGATTGGAGTGAGAGAATGTTTATTGTTTATATCAGATGGTATTTCTTTTCGTGCTAGGGGGTTGTGATATCCGATCTACTATAGTAGGAGCTGGTTTATCGAATATTCATTTGTACAAAATTCAAATAGATACGGACTGAAGTGAAAATGAAGTTATTGTCTATATTAGACGGTGCCTCTTTTAACGCAAGNGCTTGTGTTCTCCGACTTTTAGTTATTGTCTTCCTTTTTTTTTTTTTTTTTTTTTTTTTTTTTGTAGAAAATGGAAAGAGAAAAGCTGGAGAAGCTGAGGCTTAAGGCCGAGAAAGAAAAGGCCGAAAAGGAGAAAGAACAGTCGGAGAAGGTATTCATTACTGTTATGATTTTGGTATATATCGGCGACTTGTTTTCTGGTTGACCATTATTTGTCAGTTGATTTGTGGCATAAGAGACCATGACCAACCGTATTTTGTGATCGATGCAATATTTATGTGGATAGTGCTTTGCGGCTTTGTGAGATGTGGATCCATTATCATGTATTCTTTGTTTATGATCCTTTGCTTGAGTAGCTTGCATTGGCTATTCATTCGATGCTATTATTCAATTTCTTATACCTATATGGAAATTGAGCCCAAGTCTCTGAAATAGATATAGATTGATAGCTATTATGGTTGACTTTTGCTTATGACCCATTGTGGTTCAGTGGGAACTATCTATATGTTCGTAGCTGCTGAGATTTAATAGATGACTTCGATTTAGTCCTCGTGTCCTCTTTTACACACCTGTTTCTGCAGAAATTTGTATGCAGCATTCAAGTATTCCGAAGATAAGGTGTATCTCGAATGCCGCTTTGGCCATTTGGGTTCTTGTTTTTTATCTAGACAGTCTTTGTTGTAAATTATATATCTCATTTCACAATTCCTTTTAACTAAAAATTATGCCGAAGCCTTTTTCTTTTTCTTTTTCTTTTTTTAATAGCAAAAACATGTTTCTAATCATCACTTTATACTTCTAAAATATGACAAATTTTGCTGCTATTTTGGAACATGACAAACTTTCTCTTCACTATTGTTGTAACTATTACTGACTGTTGGCCAAATAAATTTGCAAGTTGAGGGACGTGCAGAATAATTGATGATATGTTTCACTCTATCTATCTTGGAAAAAGTTGTATTGTTGTCAATTAAACTTTTCAATACCAGTTTTTTGGCTAGGTTCCTTCTTGAATGGCAATATATAACTGCTTTCTTATTTTAGAACTTGTGTCTATCCTTTTTCATCATTGCTTCTTGTATGCAGAAACGTGAAGGGACCCAGTAGATAATGGTGGCTCATCTGCAAGTTGTATCATCTGCTTTGGAGTTTGGTAGCAAGGAATAAAATGTGAGATCCCCCCCCCCAATCCCCAACCACCACTTTTCTGTAACTGACAGTTAAACCTGGATTTGGTCTTTGTTTAGATAAACCACGTTGCTTGTCTTTGACTGTTCTTCCTTCCACTCTGAAATTGGAATCACTGCTATGTTTCGAGATTCATTTATCTGTTCTGCCACTGAACTGAATAAGTCTTGGTGTTTGGACGATATCCCATCACTTTTCTCTCAAAAAACATGAAAATGAGAGACAAAAGAGGTTCCATTTTGACCCAACTAAATTTTCTCTTCCTTCTCTATCCCTGCATTAACTTGTAGGAGGAACAATAAAGCGCATATTCTTTAGTTTAGTTCCTTGTGTGACTTGCTAGTTCAAAGAAGGCTTTGGTTGTTTCTCTGAAAATTGCTTCGGCAGTTCTTCTAATCAAAATAGTGTGTGCAGCTCTAAATACTGCATAGTGCCGAACTCTGATAGCATATGGTAGATGGGATTTATTATGCAATGGATACAGTTCCATGGAAAACGACTATTCAAAACCCCAGTTTCCCCCTTTTTTGTAATAGGTATAACTCCGGCCAGGCTCATGTTTCCTAATTACGTTTGGCTGTTTTATATTCTTTTTTCTAGCCCAACAAATGTGGGGTAGAGCAATTTGGACCTCCAAGTTCAGGCAGAGTTCATGTCAATTACGTATAGCTTTGTTAGTTGTGCGTGTTCCTTCCAGAGACTACACCTAATTAATGATTGGTCTTAATCGTCTTAGGCAATTGCTAAGGGACCAGATTAATAGCTGATGTTTTATTATAATAAAACATTATTATTGTATGCTTCACGGTTATTTGATATGATAGCCGTCTTGGAAGATATTTTTTAAAATAATAATAGAATAAATTTAAAAGAAAATAGGGTTACGGAACTACTTTTAAAGCTTTCTTTTCTTTTTCTTTTTCTCTTCTTTTTTTTTTTTTTTTTTTTTTTTT